CCCTTCCAAAGAGGTCTTCGAATTCAACCCTTGCCTAGGTAGGATAGTGTCAATCTCCAAGGTAGGAATTTTACTGATTATACTAGCTCAAGACTATCAGATAGAAGGTGTTATCACACAAAATATATCTACCCTCAGTGTTTGGGAATATTCTGAAAATTGTATATATTAATAACCAGTTTTAACCTTTTAGTTTGTATATATTAAAATCAGTTATTTTGTAAGCCACCCTATTTTCTATCTATTTTAAACGGTACGTAAGCTGTATATTAAATTCAAGGGCTTACCTATAAAACCGAATTATAGCTAGGTATTGAATAAAACCTCAAGATTCTCCTTTAATAAACACGTTTTAATTATATACCATAACCCTTAAAATTATAAATTATTCTTCTTTTCCATTTGCGGTATCCACCACATAAATTTACCCAGGTAATAATCGATTGTATCTCGGTACAATCGCCAAACGGTCTAAACCGAGTCAGTCATTCAGCCAAATTCAAAGATAAAAGGAAAAATCACCTACGACCCTCCCTCTGACTGAGCAGCACAGAACACTCTAGATAATTAATTTTTATATTGTTTTGCTCTGTAGGTCATAGCAACCTTAACTGCTTATCACAAAGAATATGGCGAGATATGAGTATGGATATAAATACATAAATGATAAGTTTTACCTCATCTTGCATCACGCATTTTCACTAATATCGCAATACCTTATTTTACGATTGTGATCAGCACTGCACATATAACAATAACTTGGACGACAATAGAACACCTAATATAAAGGGAGATGCCCGTTAGGCCCACTTTTGGGGTATCTTTTCTTGATATCCATCCTGCCTCTTCAGGCTTTCTGTCCATAGACGTGGAGAAAAAAGTATCATTTTTAGGTCTACTATTGAGGTTCCGCACGTACTATGGGTGGCTTCGGGTTTGACGCTTTGCTTTTTTGCTCTAATTATCGACAAATCAATATTATAAATGACAGCTCCGAAACCACAAGCTGTAGTCACATCACAATCTCACCCCATTTTTCTGAAAGGATAACAATTATACCGGAGTTCTATAACCTATGTGTAAAAATGATGCCCAAATGAGCTTAATATGTCCATTCACCTAAACATAATACCTAAAATTATATTGTACATTCTCTCTTAAAAAGAAACCAACAAGACTGAAATCTGAACGTTAAGAAATAAGACATGCTTTTACCCATTTTTGCATCATACCAAATTAAATAAAACAATATTACCGTAATTAACTTAACATTAAAAGTAAAGTAAAGTAAATTTTATTTGACTACGTTACATATTACAATATATATTTGTAGCAAGTCACAAAACGTACATATTAAAATAACAGCTTATTTTTAAACATAAAATACAGAACTACACAATGAAATAACTACATACATATAATTGTTAAGTAGAATAAAATAATAAGTTTACACAGATCGATATATTCCTCTACGGAATAAAAACAATGTGTCAACATAAATGTTTTTAATTTTTTCTTAAATGAATTGAACTCCAGCAGCCCAAACTCGGATGGAAATATATTATAAAGACCAAGGTCGAGGGAATTGTTTTTTGATTTATTTAGACGATATCTATAGACCTTTTCATCATGTGATGAGCGCAAGCGCAGCCACCATGTTGAAATAGCGGTAATTCAAAAGTTTCGTACTGTTTTGATCGACAATGGCTGAGAAAGCAATGTTATCTCTACAGAAAAATTAATCATTAGAAAAAATCGTTGATAGTGAATAACTTTTTTATAACTCTGTGGAAGCGCATAGTTGGGAGCAGTTGAAAAGGAGGTTGAAGTGTCTTGGATGTTTGTTACAAAGGAACAAAGTGGACTAATTGAGAGGTTAGGTGTATCAATACTTTTTAACTCTGTAAAAAAATTAATGAAAACAAATAATAATTATAACTTTATTCTAATTAATTATGCCAACCAACTATTACTACTTGCAAAAACACTTTAATTAGCATGAAAGTTAATCACGAGTGTAATTAATAAAATAAATTATTTATTATTTTGAGGATCAACATGACATTTTTAATCATTTAATGTGTATACCGAAGTAGTATTTAATATTAAAAAAATATTGTTTAATACCACATGCGAATTTTCTTCTGTTGGACCACTTTCTCCATGAAAATGCAGTGAAATATAAGTATCTTTAGTAACATCATTAATCCATCGAAAACCGTTGTCACTTCGACCATATTTTTTCACACTTAATGCACATTTCGAATATCTTTTAATATGGATGTTGCCTGATAATTGTTTACGATATTGCAGTTAAGGCTTTGGAAAATTTATAAAATAATATCTATTGCCTTTGAATGATTTATACCGTGTGTCACTTTTACATAACAACACTGTTTTGTTATTCCTTTCCGTACAGATAACATAATTATAATTGATTGTGAAAATGTATTTTTCAATTAAGACACTAAACTTATTATTAATTTACTTTTTTCTTCCTTTTTTTAAATGAATATAGATTTAAATTAATATTTATCAATTATAATTTTTTTCACGTAAGCATTTTAACATACTTGTTTACAAAAACAGTACGAAAAAGATGGCTGAAACTGACGCATGCGCACAAAAAAAAATTGTGATGAAAAGGTCTATTTATTCTTAAGTTGTTAGCTTGTCTGGTAGGATATTTGTGAATGTCGGACTGCCTAGAAAGACATGATAATTTCTTATGAATTTCCAAAAGGACACTTAATATATAAATCGTTGGTAGAGGCATTATTCCTGGCTGAATAAACAAGGGCTGACAATGTTCTCTAAATTTGGAACCAGTTATGATTCTAACAGCCTTCTTCTGCAGCCGAAAAATCAAAATTGCATCTGAACTGTTACCCCAAAGCGCAGTGGCATAATTTATGTGGGAATGGAATAGGTAAAAGTAAAACGTTCTTAATATGTTACGATCTGTTATAGTTTTAAGCTGCCTCAACAGATATAAGGTACTGCATAATTTAGGTTTTAATTTATTTATATGAATTCTCCAAGTTAAATTACTATCTAACATAACTCCAAGTAACTTAGTACTATTGCAATTTTGAGAATCGGTAACCGAAGAAAACTGCAATTCCTGAGATTTATTTTGATTTAACATGATATTGTTAGCTAAGAACCAATGTTCAGCTTTAGCGATAATAGTTTCTGCAGTATTTTTCAATTCAATTTCATTTTTTGCAGAGTACACAAAAGTGGTATCGTCTGCAAATAGAACAGTTTTAAAAGGACCCATAAAATTACTTAAATCGTTGGTATAAATAATAAATAATAATGGTCCTAAGACAGAGCCCTGTGTAACTCCATGCTTAACCGAACTAAAATTAGACCTTTGGTTCTGAAATGTGACAGCCTGAAGGCGTCCAGATAAATAAGATTGTAAAAGTTTTAACGCACTTCCTCGGACGCCGTAGTAATTTAACTTTTCAATCAAGATGTCATGAGAAATGCAGTCGAAAGCATTCGACAGGTCGCAAAGAGTAACTGCTGTGTGACTACCTTGCTCAAGGCCAGACACCACTCCATGAACAACATCTATTACAGCTTGAACCGTTGATTTGTTGGTTCGAAACCCATATTGAGCAACAATAAAGTAGTTTTTTGACTCAAAATAACTATAAAGACGTGATTTAATGATTTTTTCAACGATCTTGCTAAATACAGATAAAATTGAAATTGGACGATAGTTGTCCACGATATTCTTATCGCCTTTTTTATGTAATGGTATAACTTTCGAATATTTAAAACAATCTGGAAAGACTCCAGTACTAAATATAACATTTATCAGATTGGTCAAAGGATCTAACAACAAATCAGTAGTTTGTTTTATAATTTTAACGTTTAGTTCATGAACGTCAAGAGAATTAGAGTTTTTTAAGCATTTTATTGTATTCAAAACTTCATTTTGTGTGACCGGATTTAAAAAAAATGATCCAACTGGTGTAGGAAAGTTTTTAAAAGATAAAAGGCTTTTATTAGATACTTTTGGAAGCGATTTAATTATTTCAAGAGAAATATTTGTAAAAAAGTCATTAAATGCGTCAGGATTAAGATTAATATTACTGTTCTTAGAGACAACTCTGTTTTCTTCGTAATTAATTATTCGCCAGCAGGCCTTCGACTTATTGCTAGATGTTGTTATATAATTACTATAAGCAGTTTTTTTGGTATTTTTCAGTGTAAGATAATATTGATTTCTAAATTGTTTTTAAGTGTTTGAATCACTCGACTGTTTGCTTACTTCTGCTTTAACTTTAAGAGCTGATAGAGTATTTCTCATAGATTTTATATTTTCATTGAACCAAACTACCGGTGATTTTTTTGCTTATTCTACGCATTTTTTAAGTGGGCAAAATTTGACAACCAAATCACTATAGGTTTTTATTAAAAAATTTGCAAGATACTCTGCATCATAAATTGTTTCAAAGATAACCCAGTCAATAGAGTTTAGGGAATATCTAATTTTATCAATTGATTTTTTTGAGAAAAACCTGTTGTAAAAAATTTGTGGTTGATTTTCAATATTGTTTTTCACAGTTATAAATTGGCCTCGATGGTCTGAAATACATGGTTCAAAAACACTGGAATTTATTGAAGAATCGTCTAAGTTTGTAATTAGGTTATCCAAACGAGGAAGATGTAGCCGTGACTCTAGTATATTCATTAATCGCAGTTTTTAAACCAAAAGACATTAAAATAGAATTGAGCTTGGTATAACCTCTCGAAGTAGCTTTAAAATCAATATTAAAATCACCCAAGATAATAATATTTCGTTCAAGTGTTACAATTATATTTAATAACTTTTCAAAATTTTCAAAAAATAAATCAATATTTCCTTTACCCGATCTATAGACAACTATAAGCAATTTCAACTCGGGAAGTTCTAATGCGCAAAATTCACTTGATTGTTCGAAGTTAAATTTTGTTACGTCCAAAACGCTTATTTTTATGTTTTTTTTTAGAAATATAGCTACGCCGCCACGCAATTTCTTACTTCTACAAAAGGAAGTAGCACATATATAACCATCCAAGTTCACGCTACTAAGATTCATCTCATTTAGCCAATGTTCCGAGATGCAAAGAACATCAAAATTAAATTCGTTTAAGAATACATCAAGCATTTCCACTTTGTTAGACAAACACTGCACGTTTAAATGAAATATACTCACCGATCTTTTACATTGCAAAATACTATGTAGATGAAATTTATCAAATATGTCATTTTTCTTTGTTGATGTGGAATCTAGATATTTACAGTCACATGTGTCTTTCTGAAAATTCTGTCTAAATTGAAATCTTCTAACTTCTGCTCCTTTGGGCCAAATAGCTGGATCGAAAATTTGGTTTATTTTGTCCATCGGAAACGAAACTTTATATGGACACCCTATCATTTCTGTGCCATTCTTCACATGAAAAGTTAATGTTCTGGGCACTTTTCTTTAAAAAATTTAAAACGTCATCACTTTTTATCTCATTTCCAATTCTTGATAGATGTAAAAAACCTTGTCTCGGTACTATTTTAAATTGTTTATTTTGAATTTCATTGCTTCCAATATTTGCTTTATTGTTGTATATTTTTTTGTAAAGGGAATTCCCTCTGTTTTTGTCCTCAGAGTTTGTTGACCTTTCATACCTGCTTTCTTTGATGGTTTGTTTTGATATATTTATTTTAAGAACTTCATTGAAATTTTTTTGTGGGTTGTTATCTTTAGAATTGTTATCTTTTGTTAAGTTTTTGTTGTCCTCTGTTGATCCAAACTGAGCCCGATGAGAACTATTTAATATTAAAGTTGAATTTGAATTTTAACTGCAAGATGGCATATTATTAGTTTCGAAATTTAAATCTTTAAATTGTTTTAATAACACAATTAAATCTGCCTCTTCTTGTGTGCGCTTTTCCAGGTGAAAAGTTAGTTTACTCATAGTGTCTAATTCACATTTTATTTGGTCTAACTTTTTAAGACTTCCTTCACATTGAACACAATAATTGAGGTTAGAGTAACTATCATGTAATTTTTCATTATATACTGGTTGTTTATCCATAAGTTTTTTTATATATTTCACTAATATATCACTAGTCACAGACATCGGTATTTCAAATGTTAAAATTAGATCGATTAATTCATTTTTCTTGAGCTTATTCAGCTCAGACGTTGAAACTGCGATTTCACTACACTCCGCCATCTTGATGTCAAATTAACTAAGTCCGCTATATGCAGAATCTCTTCGAGGGACCAGCGAATAAACTCGAAAAATAAATATAATATAATTTAAGCATCTGTTTACCATCTAAATAAACGCAAAAGACAAATTTTTATATCCCAAAAAAGCTGGTCATTGGTTTTCTAAACCCTAAAATAATACAGGGCTTTGACACTTGATTTGTATGATTATAAACCGGAAGAGTTTAATTTATTAATTATGGCGGAATTTATAATGATTGATTTTTATGCCCGTAATTATTGCCCTATAAAATAAAATGAAATGCCCTGACAATGAAATGAAAAAAACTACCCACATAACTTAAAATTTAACAATTGACTAAATTTTACCCAAATAAGAACGGTTCCCCTTTGAAACACATATAAATAATCACAAAACGATAGCTGTAATAAAACCATGCTGTAATAACTCTTCTCCTCCGGCTGTATACAAGATTACTATACAAAGAATACTAGTTAGGAGTATGCGTCGAAATGCGTTCTAGAACGGCGTTTCCGCGATTAAAACCGATAATCGTAGCGTCTAAAAGAAGATACGATTATCGCTAAAATCCACGCACGTGAAACCTCACAACAAAGAAAAAGATATTGTCGACAAAAGTAGAATAACAATCGCAATACTTTTAGCTGTTTTCCACCAGTTTTTTACGGTAGGATCAGAGGTATTTCTTTATCCGACGTCGTCACCATAGGCAACGGTTTATCAAGACAAGTCACGCAAATAATCCAATAACTCGGAGATGCAATCCTACAAAACTCTTAGAAGAGAGAAAAATTAAGCTCTTTTAAAACGTCCGTCTGTTTGGTCACAAATAACTACCTTTCGATATACAAACATAATATATCAGAAGTCACCTTAAAGGTAACGATGTATAGCGCAACAGAAGTTGTTTCAAAGAGAAAATAATTTATCTACTCTGTCGATATCTTTTACTGCGTTTTCCAAAATTTAACAAAAAAGCCGTCACCTTATAGTTAACGAGATAAACCTTTCAATATACTGGAAGAGTATATAGAAAGGAGTCACCTTAACCCTTAACTGATGACCCTACTTTTAATTACATAAATGGTAACCATAAGTCTGATGGACTAGCGAAAAAAGCGAATTTTTTCAAAAGTTAAGACAAAAATAATTTGATAACATTTTTTTAAATTAATAATACAATATTATTATGGAATTTTAGTTATATTTAGTTATATTCAAATTAACATAATGTATATTTAAAGTAGGTATATTTTATATAAAAAACGTAAAAAATAGAAATATATAAATTCTACACAAAACCTGCAGATAACAAAAAAATACAAAAAAATAGTCTTGCTTTACCCTGGTATAGCTTTAACAAATTTTAGAACACTGTTAGACTCTTTCTTACTTCACTTATACCTGTTCCTTGAATAGAAATAATTAGTGGAATTGTCGCACTCTTTCTCATCTTCGCTAGATATCATTTCCGGGTCATATTCTCTTCTTCATTTTCAAAAGGCTTTTCTTCGCTGTCCATTAAATGATCATTGTCTATACAGTTTTCTTCTTTCACCTCTTCATTACTTGTGTAACTACTCGCCTCATTGTATTATTTTAAACACAGTTCCTCGAAATCGTCGTCTCATGTGTTTACACTATGTCGGGAATCAGCCATTTTATATTATCACTAATGGTGACCTTGCGTCTAATAGACTCGTTGATATAAAAATAACAAAACGAAGGACGTAACTCTCCTTATGGCAACTAAAGGCTATGAAGGTACACGGAGGGCCGCTTGTCACATATTTCGGGTGAGAGATGTCGATGCGTACACCATCGTGCGATGTCTGTAGGACTCATGGTCACTAGTTAAGGATTAAAGATAACTGAGTCTTACACTTTTTTTGTCAACTGAACTTGAGAAAGGCAGGAAGAATTCTAACCCATTTCTTACAATTGAACGATGTTTTTATACTTTATTTTTCCCATTAAGGTAATGCATTTGACAAAGAACGATTGAATTTCTGTCCCACTCAACTTTCACGCAATGTAGTACCACGGCAAACAACTCTAATGTGCAGCATTTGGTTTGCGGAACGTCCCCAATGTCCGAGCTTACATCTAAACAATTTACAAACAAAATACGTGGAAATAAAAAGCGATTGATATATTCTCGAAATCGCCACAAAAAGAACATAAAAATATCAGACCCAGGGGCGTCGAATTTTACTATAGGCTCTTATTTGCTATATTACTCGTATTACGTTAATTATAAACAGTGAAAATATTTCAGGAATGTGTAATGAAATGCTGACATCTTTTACCGCTCCTGCAGAGATTTTTGAAGCTTACGGAACTAAAGGAAGTGTTTCTTTGGGCGGGTTATTTTATTGTTTTAAATAAGTATAACTACGATAAATATATTTTTTTTCTAACTGAATTGAGGTTGGTAACTGTTGATTCATCTCCACAACAACTCCACTACCTCCAAGGTATTATCGTGGCCCGTTTAAATTTTAAAGAATATGGAGGAAAATAACTTACATTTAGTTCTTTATATACTTAGTACCATTTTAATACAAAATTTTGTATAATTTTAACTTTCAAACATTTCTTAATATGTCTAAAGATGGCCCCATAGGCCAAAATTAGCTACGATCTGTTGTATTTATATTGTTCTATCGATTTTAACAGTTTTATTCTTATCGAATATACGACCACATTTAAGAAAAAAAGAATAATATTTCGCTGTAATTAAATTAAACGTTATTTTACTCGGTATTCTTCAATTTATTTCAAACATTGGAGTTCTTCCTATAGCTTCCTACTGTAATCTCTCAGGAGCTCTTAATGAAATATTTACATTTCCGTATTGCCTACATATACTGATTTGAATCTGATCAAACGTTTCGAACCTAATTGAAAGCATCGTGGGAGAGTTCGTAAAATCTTCCGCATCGCATACCCTCCTTATTGTCATGAACATTCGGCAGCTGTCTCTAGAAACGTCGTTATCGTTCAAGATATTACCTAACCTAAAATTTCAAGAATAAAAAGTTATGACTTTCTCCGGCACCTTAATTTTCTTTTACTCGCGTAGTTTGTATACTGATTTTTAACGGGTTTCTCCCGAAAATAAATTATCTCTTCAAACGGGCTCTCGAGAAGCTGTCGCATTTAATTAACTTTGAAACATACCACATTGGTCAAAATTTTAATCTAGCTGCGCAAAAATAGACGATTGTGTGGTTAGTTATTTTCACCCATTATTCGTGAATGGACGGATTTTGTCTTCACTATAATATTGCGAAGTAACTAACAGTTTTTTAGTTCTTATTATACTAACTAAAAAACATTTTTGTAATACATGAAAAAATTAAATCTCAAAATCAATATTGTATGAATTTATTGTGTTAGATTAATACAGGTATGACACCATCTTCATCTGTAATATAAAAATCTTAAGGTAAATAGGTCATAAAAATAGATTAGTAACTAATAAATATACTTTTAATCACAGAAGGCAACCTATCAAATATGATCTATGAGACAAATGAAAAACGAAATCTGAATAGCCAACGATATTGTTTTAAAATCATTTAAAGTAATTGATTTAATGAAAAACAAGAAATGCTGACTAGAAAATAAAGTTAATAAAATAAAAGAAAGTTTGAAAAACTATGACAATTTTGACAAGTAATATTAAAAATAATTCAAATTTAAAAAAATATAAATTTCAAGGGTTGTAAGTAGTTGTTTATTAACACAATTAAATTCGTTATTATTCATTGCATTGTTAGTTTCAGAGAAATTCTGTATTACTCGTACATTGATGAAGTAATGTAGTATTGGAAATAGAAAATTCATGATTTTCTTTTAAAATATGGTTAACAATTAAAATTGAGTATTATCTACGTGTGTTCTTGTACATATACATGAGTCTATGACTCAGTTTTGCCAGATGTAACATAATTATCGAATTGTAACTAGATTTTGCAACAAATTGTTCACAAAAAATTTCTGTACCATAATCCATATTTGTAACATAATGGTTACCTTACATAATTCAGGTTTTTAGCATTCATGCAAATTATTTTCATGATAATATATAAATTATTTAGGTAGTTAACGTAAAATGAAAAACTTCTAATGAGACGCCACTGAAGTAGCCTTTTGTTGGCAATCTTGCTTGTAGGTCTGGTGTTCACCGCGTGATTCCCCGAATAAGCCGACGACACGACGATGGCCGAAACACTGAAACTAAAAAAGTGATCAGCATTCAGCAGATAATCAGTAGATATTCGACAATTTAACGCAGCGGCAATAGAAATATTAAATTTTCTCGCAATTTAAAAAAAAATTGCAGGTCCTTCAAGAACAGTAAATATTAGCGACGATTCTAGTGATTCTGATAACGAAATTGCAATAAAAATATCTAAAAATGCGAGAAGGCGAGAAACCAGACCTCAACATTATAAAACTGTGTGGAAAAATACACTTAAAGGCTGATTAAAACCTATTAAAGGTAAGTTAAACAAACAAAAAATGGGATCCAAATTTATAGCTATCGATATTTTTTTAGAGAATTCACTCCGAGCCAAATGTATCGCTTGTAACACAGATTTTCAAGCCGATATAACAGTAATAAAAAACCACGATAAGAGCTCACAACATTTAAGATCGGTAAAAAAATTAGGACCAAGTCAGCCAAGAATTGACACATCGTTTTTCAAAACCAACGACGCACAAGAGAAGGTAACTATTGCCGAAATAAAATTTGCGGTTTTTATTTCTGAACACAATTTGCCTAAGAGACTCTGCGACCATTTAGTGCCCCTCCTAAAATACATTTTTCCGGATTCGCAAATTGCCAAAGAAATACAGATGGGTCGAACAAAATGCACTTGCGTTATTAAAAATGTTTTGGGACAATATCATTTTAGCAAAATGGTAAAAAAATTGAAATGTAAAAAATTTAGTATTTTAATTGAAGAATCAACAGATATCGGTACAATCAAAAACATGTGTTAGGTTTTTTAGCGAAAAATAAAAAAAATAGAAAGAAACTTTTTTAGTCTAGTTCAGATAAAAATCCAGATGATACCGACGTTGGAGCTCAAGTAATTTATAACAAAATTATTAATCTTATGGAATCCGTAAATATGCTACTTGGTAATATCATAGGTTTCGGTAAAGAAGGCTGCAACACTATGTTTGGTACAAAAAATGGGGACGATTACAAACAAATTATGTTTTATTAATTTATGACTGCACCCGAAGATGGAATAGTTTTCCGAATCATATGTAGTGCAGTGCCAAACAGTTAAAAATAAAAAAAAAGAATTAATAAACCAAGAACATTTTTATTTATATAAAATACTTTAATTTAGTTTTCGAGACACAGCGGTGTAGGAAGGCAATGATAAAGCCAACCCATAGCTAAAAGAGAAACCTAATCTGACCAGATTCATTTCTGGGCCTTGTTAAGAGCACTGCCAATAAATTTATTTTAAAACGGGCGGAAGGGTGTAACACCCACGAACTGGAGAGATACCGCAGGGCTAATTCATTCGAAGTCGTTTACCCTACTCTTTCATGAACGTCTCTAAGGATCCTTACGAAACTGATGACAGGACATTTTCATCTAGATAACCACATGAGAACGACAGGTCTGCAAACAAACATCGAACTGTCAATTCTGCTTCACTTTGAAACGAACAAGGTTCCAGATCATCGAATTCACCCTACTTAAACAAGTCTCGTCCAATTCAACCTTGCTTCATTAGAAGATGCGGCTTGAACGGCAATCTATAAATTTGTCAGCCCTTTTCCTTATTAACCCCTAGGTTGGAGACAAAGAGGGTTAACAGTGTAGGTTCTTTAATTGTACCTAGATTAACTGTCTAAATAAGCATAAATAAAACAAAAATTTGTGCTGAGAGGAGTTCTATCAGTTCTATATATTTTGAATGAAATAAAAGTATCTGTAGGCTTTCGAATAATGTCAAAGATTAATGATAAGCTAAGCTACAATGAAGCAGTTGTAATAATTTCTTAAGACTATTTGTCAAGTTTTATATTTATTGTTAATATACATTTGTTAATGTTTTGATACTTATTATTAATCTTTCCTTTCTTTCCAAACCAGCAAAATACTTCGAGCATTTGAGAAGCCTCGGCGTTTCTATTCCTTTAGGACTAAAAGAGTCTAAAACTAGTTGCCAAGAACCGCTGGACATATGGTCTTAAGGGATGTTTTTTTGTATTCTATTATTTTTTCTTTATTATTTTCTTTTGCCACTGGTGAATGGATGTTCCTTTAGGACTTCAGGACCCTAGGGCTGGTGACAGGTGCTGCCTTTATCCCTTAATAGTATAATGACAACAGTAGCTAAAGACTTATCAGTAGTTGCAAATGGTCTTTAGGCTTCCTGGTTGTTACACAGTTACCCAGTGTTAGTACTAACGATGGTTTACATAATTGATTATGACATTTATATGTTTTATCACTTGTGCACAGCGTGAATTGGATTGTTACTTCTCCAGTTGATTTTTTTAATGGTTCACTACATACCACCGGCAGGGTTCTTTGAAAACTAAAACTAATCATACTTGTTCTAACACAAAAGGTCACTCTTTAGGTATTTCTGGATAGCTCTAATGGGACTGGTAAGTAACTATGATCCCTCAATGTGGTAGAATAGCAATTTCAGGTAATTAAGCAGACTAGGAAGTGCAGATTAAACTATACAGCGACCAGCAGGCGAGCAGCGGTAGCTCTATGCTATAAGCTATTCTTAATATTAATATTTTAATATTAATCAATAAACAATTTAATTTAGTTGCACCATTTTATGAAATTTTAAATAATATCCTGAATAGATATCAGAAGACTCACAGATAACTGTGCTGATACCGCTTTCATCAGCATAAAATACTACTTTTTATACATTACGCACATCATTTATAAATATAAAAAAATAAACAGTCTCAGGACAGACCCTTGAGAGACTCCCGTATTTATATCAGATGATTTAGATATTAAATCCTCGATTTTGACTAAGATTTTCTTATTCCTATACGATGAATAATGGATTTCTGCCAATTAATAATTGTAATATTTATTTAAACTGACATCTCGAAGAGTTTTTTTTTTAATTTTATTTGTAATTAATAGGGTGTATAGGGAATAAAATATTATGTTAATGAGCATTCACAAGAAATCTTTATCCGTGGGTGGGATAGTTGGTTGTTCTACAGTGCTTAGACCTCTCTACGTCCATCATGCACTCTCCTGAATAGGTTACTTTGTATGTAGGTGGATTGGATGCTATATCGCACTTTGGCCGCACTAAGTCCATTTTACATTTTTCTAAATTGGTAAGGATAGAGGACAGAACACTAACAGACCTAATTTAGCTGATAACGTCGTCAAAATGCACCTTTCTTGTGGTGAAACAGTTGTATATTATGTGGATTTTAAAGAGAGTTAATAATAAAGCTAGGACGTGTACCTACACTTATAGAAATGTTTATATAAAGGACTTGAGAGCTAGTGTCCCCGGATTTTAAGAATTTCAAAGATTATATATTATCCACAACTGCAATAGGCCTATTATTAAGACTTAAATATATTTGCTAAAGCTACTAGATGAGCAAGTGATATTTTTATCTTTAAAAATACCTCTCTCTTCTTTTTTCTACAAGTTTACTTATTAACTAGATTTTAGACAGTCTTAGTTATATTGTTAAATATATTAATAAATTTATTTTTTTATTAAAATTTTATTTCTTCATAAAATACGAGGGTATTTTGTCGAAAGAGTGACTGTTCAGAGGTTGGCAACACTTTCTCTACGGTGATTATATTAGGCATTCCAACGACCTGTCAAACAATAGGTATCAGTGGGAAATTCTTGTATATTTAAGGGGGTAGCGACATAGTCTTGCAACTTGGACGCTATTTTTATTCGAAGTACAGTTCATCAAATTTCTAGAGGCTTTCGACGGCTAGACAGAGAAAGCGCTACTGACAGGCATCCCGACGGATTTACGCAATGAAAGTACACTCTGCGCATCAAGTATTTCACTATTTCATTCAGACGTAAATGTCAGATGTAAATTTCGCTAAAACATTTCTTTTATTTTCGTTTGTGTTTTTTGCTCATTACAGTTTAATAGAACCTAAGTATGGAGTTTAATAGCAAATTAAGAGGCCGCGTGATTAACAGTCAATCTCGCGAAATAATAGCCAATGTTATAGAGTTTATGAGAAGAGAAGGAAACTTTAATTCACCTTCAATACCATTTAAAAATGTAAATGATCATGTTGCTGCAGCCACAGGAGTATCTAAAAACACTGTCGTCCGCATTTCTGGAGAGAAAAATAGAATCGATAACCGTGAGATATCGGAATTTTCATCACCAAGAAAAACCATTAAAAAACCAAAAACAGTTAATGATATAGATGAAGCTGCACAAGAATCAAATTTTATTTTTTTATTATTAGATAGCTATTTTTGTTTCTGAGTTGTGTTCATTTACAGGCTCAATTTTTTTCCGTTTCTCCTTTTTGATTTTATATGGGGTTTTAAGTTGTTTTTGACTTATTTCGACGTAAATCACAACAACATACTTTTTTAATAAAGCAAACAAGTGTTAAGAGGTATATGTACGTGTAAACTACAATTACAAAAAATTGATATGAAACCCATGAAACCACCAACAAAAATGTAAAGCTAGCTTTCGTACTAGAACATGGTGTCATTCGTCTAGATAATTTATCGTTTTGTTTAATAGATCAAGAAATGTAAATATTCCCCTGTTATTTTTTATAAAATTATAAGAGAAATAAATTTTTTTCTAAATAGTATAGTTTATTATTTTGTAGAAAAACAAAATTTCGAAAATTTTAGTAATGTTTCAGAAACAACCGTTATTAATAATAGATACCATTTTCCTTAATAAGGTAGAAATAAAATATAAACTATTTCCACGATTTACAAAGGCCTACAAAAAAATTATAGGTATTTTCCGCTATCCTATAAAATTTATATTTTCTGACTCAATTTCAAAAGGTTGAAGGAATTCCAAAACACCTTTTATGGCATAATAATTATTTTCAATTCTACATACTATCTTTAGCTGCTTTTAAAAACGTTCTAAGAAAGTCCAATCAGACCAATTTAATCCCTAAACTATTCCACACTTTTAAAATTTAATTACCTAAAAATATTAAAAACTATTTAAAATAACTTGTTTAGCAGACTGTACAATAGCTATCTTAGTCACACGTAGCGCGTTCTCTGTCTGGGCGTCGAACACCTCTAGAAATTTGATGAACTGTAGTACTCGCCAAGCCTGCCAATTTATAAAGAAATGTATAGGTGGGTTTTTAAAATATAATTTTTATTGTGTTTGACATAAAATATTTAAATGTAATCCATTATTCATGATTTTACGTAAAGTAGATGGAATGCACCATATGTCGCCACCCTTAGATATACCAAACCTGCCCACTGGTAATTCATTTGTTTGGAATGCCTAATTAGTAGTTTCCGCCATGTTCCCGATGTCATCTGTCAACTTTTTACATAAATCTGACAGATAGATTAGTTTTAATACTCATGTAAAGAAAACTATTTTGTTCCATCACAACAATGCACCTGCCCATTAGTACGCTATTGTTACAGAAAAATTGGCCGAACTGCATTACAATTTATTGCCTCATTCACCATATTCACCTAATTTGGCTTTCTCCGATTACTTCCTGTTCCAAAACTTAAAAAATGGCTTGATGGAAAGCGATTTCAGATAAACGAATAGTTGATGGCAGAGACAAACGCGTATCTTGCGGAACTTCTTATAGATAATTTTTTGAATGGTTTGAGAAAATTGGAAACTCGCTGGGCTAAGTGTGTAGAGTTAAAAAGAGATGTTAAAAAAAATATTTTTTTTACAGTAAAGTAATTTGCCCATTGAAAAGTCACTCTTCCGTCAAACCGCCCTCGTATTTTGGTTAGTCAATTAGT